CTGGGTGGCTCAGTCGGTTGAGCGTCTGTCTCTTGATTTTGGCTTGGGTCACCACCTTGTGGTTGTGGAGCCCATGTTGGGCTCCGCGCCGGGTATGGAGCCTGCTGAGGATTCTCTCTCTCTCTCCCTCTCTCTCTCTGCCCCTCCCCCACCTCAAAATAAATAAACATTTTTTTAAAAGAATCATTATTCATAATAGCCCCCAGAATGAAAAAGCCCCGAGTGTCCACCAACAGGTGAATAGTATATCCATACAATGGGTGGGGTCAGGGGGAGGAGATTATGCAAACGGTCTGGGGAACCATTTCCGGGGTCGTGTACATCTACTAAGACTCATCGAACTTTACAGTTCAAGTGAATGAATGGTTAGGCATGTAAATTAAACTCCAATAAAGTTAAAAATTATTTTATTTTAATTTTTTTTAACTTTATTTATTTTTGATAGAGACAGAGCACAAGCGGGGGAGGGGCCGAGAGAGAAGGAGACACAGAATCCGAAGCAGGCTCCAGGCTGTCAGCACAGAGCCCCACGCGGGGCTCGAACTCACAAGCCGCGAGATCATGACCTGAGCTGAAGCTCAACCGACGGAGCCACCCAGGCGCCCCTAAAAATTATTTTTAAAAAAGCCCGTGATCCAAATACAGTACCACTGGACATTAATGAAAATAAAACTTTTTGGTTATAAAGGCAAATATCTTTATGCTAATTGTTTTTGCCAAATGGAAAAAAACATTGTGCTCATCTCTGGGCTCAGGCTTTTTCAATCTGATGGATTTCTGGAATAAAATTACTTTTAGGTCAGATAAATAAATCTGTCTGTACAGGTCTATTGGTTTAAACTGGAGCCCAACATTTTGCTCTACCTGATTTGGAAACCGGTCTGGAAAATATATGTGGAATTTCTTGGGGAAAAAAAAGTTCACCTATGACAAGTGCCACAAAAAAATGACATCTGGGGGCACCTGGGTGGCTCAGTCAGTTAAGCGTCTGACTCTTGGTTTCGGCTCAGGTCATGA